AAAAGAAATAATCGCGAGTGTTTTTGTACTGATTGTGAGCGAGGAATTGGATAAATTTCGCTTCACTCTCACCAATGAAGCGATCCGTTCAGTGTAATCTGTTCGTTCCGGTGATTTCTTCTGACTTAAACGAATTATATTGCGATCCGGTGTATTTTCATGTTCTCATTGTACCGATGCTGTATGCCTTTGCCTGGTCATCTGAATTGAATTTCGACTAATATATTGTTGTTATTGGATTTGTAACATTACTGCTCAATAGGTGTATTCATCGCTTTTGTGTGATCTGATGTGACGGTGATAATAGAAGAAGATAATTAATAAAAATCTTAGTTCGACACCCAAAATTACGATTCTCGTTCAGTCATTCTGTTATATATTCATGAGTTTATAATCAGTATGCTTGGCGATGCAAAATCAATGCGATTCTTAAACTGTTGTTAATCAACTGTTGTACAGATTCTGGTATCAGCTGTCTGTGCGCTCAGTGAAATGCGTTTGATGCAGAACTGAAAGCAGGGCTGAGCTTCCACTTATGAATCCATTTTCATTTGAAGCATTCCAATGCTATCAATAATCATTCCTTAAACTTTATCACTCTTTGATGCGATTTCAGTTCATTTGCTAAATGTGCATTAGGCATAGAGAATTTGGAGCAGCAGTGAAGTATAATTTATCTGAAAATTGTTGCGTCGGAACAGTGAATTTTATGTGAAGGGAATTCATGAGAGTTCGTTGAGCCAGCCAGCGTCTGTAGTGAAAATCAGAAGCTGAAAACTGATCGATCGGAAAACTTCATCAAGTATGATGGCTGCTGAATTTGAGATACGAACTGAGTGTGCATCGAACACGACCACCGTGTCCAGGTATTCACCGTCGAACGCGTTGTATCGTTGTGGATAATTCGGCATTGGGTAAAGAGGCGAACACGAGTGGTAAACTAGCGTATTGCATTCATGTTTATAAGCAAGGAGGACGAAAGAAACACATGCCACATGCGACACTTGGTGACAAGGTAAGAATATTGCAATTATTCATCGATTTAATCATTTCTAGAATATTATCACAAATATCGCCTCGGTTACCACTCGGTTTCAATGAAGGCTGTGCCTGATCATGCTATCGGTGAATACGTATGAGCACATGATCACCTCTGACCAAGGCGTTGGGTGAACGGAGGGCATGATTGTGTTCATTTGAGATACTCGAATTCTCCTA